ATTTTACTATAGACCTATCACTATTCAAACTTGACCTTTGCAAAATGACCATTCTCAATGCAGTATGTAAATCTTCACCAAACAAGTGTTCCTACACCCATGCAGTCTTACAGATGAGAAGCTGCCTCATCTGGTAAACAAATCCTGAGATTTACAAGACTAGGTTTGCATTTTACACGTTTTCTTGCATTCTATAGGCTCCATCTTTACACAAGTAGCTTTACTACAGATACTACTTCTTTCCCAATAAAGCTCACCCCGATGTAAAGATACAGCTGTAAAAGTCAAAAACTACAGGATTGTATACTTATAAATACTAATTAAAATGGCAAAGAAACAGAAGAAAGCTTTAAAAATAGCTCTCAATGGACAAGATCATGTTTGCAGAAACTGCATTGGAAAGAGGAATGATGAGAGCAGCAGCTCTGATTTTAAATATCCATAATTAACAGCTATTTTTTCCCCTCTGTCAGAGCTCTGGGACAAAATTTATTTTTGGCATAAGGCCACTGAAAACAATGAGCTTGGTTCAATTAAGTTGGTCCAGTACATATTAAATGAAAAGACATTATGAAACATTTGTCTCAGATATAAGAAAAAAAAAAATCACACAGAAAATCTGGGATATAGTAAGAGAGAGAGAAATAAGATCACTTGGGCTAGCTTGTCATAAACTAGCAGAACTTCAGTTACTCAAAATAGGGCAGACTGCCCAGAACTGGTTTTGGCACATAGGTTTTATTTGCCTTACTTGGATACTGTAGATGTTCTGCTGAACAAGACACTAAGCACTAGAAAAAGAGGGTATCTCTAATTAATCTGCACATTTATAAGCAAAAAAGAAAAAAAAAAAAACAAACAAAGCAAAACAGAACAAAAAAAAAAAAACCACCACAAAAAAACAGAAGACTTGGAAGAGTTGCAACAGTGCATGAAGTCCAGATTCATAAAAGTTAATTGAACTCTTATCTGAAAGCTCAGCTGTTCCCAGAGAACGTATCTGACAATAAGTCCTTACAGTAAGTCCTTCAGATATCATGTCAAGACGAACACATATTGCAGATGTGCCCAACTAGCTGAACAAGGGCAGAAAGGAAATAAATGATGAGTTATCATGTCACCTGTAGGTCAGGCAGGCTCTCAAGTGGGCACAGAATGACTGCTAGGACTACGATGCAGCTCAGGTGACTGCCTTGCAAAGCGATGACTATCTCAAATTTCATTGCAAGAGGCTGTCTCTAGACTTTGAGATCATTTTCATCTCATGCTCTACCTCACATTTATGAGAGGACACCCCAGAAATACCAGCAAAACTCTGATTATCCTTTTACAAGTCCCTCTTCTAAAAATTCTGTAGCCTGGAATAGCTTCAGAGGTGGACCGTGATTAGACAAAGCAAACACCTGCCTCTCTAGCAGTGTTCCAAAGTTTTGTCTTGTTCCCCCCAGCTCTGGACAAACTTCTGTCATCTGTCTTACAGTGTAATGACTGTCTTGAAGATAATGCCACATTGCTGTTTTATCCTTGCACAGCATCTCGTACTGACACTCCTAGTTTATTCTTGATGCAAACTACTGATAATAAAAGATTGAAAACATGAATGAAGCATATCTTCTGGAGTGACTTCAGCTCACAGCTGTTAGGGGAAACTCTTAGGTCACTCCCAGCAATTGGTCTACAACCAAGGTAACAATCTCTGCAAAGTAACCCCACCTGTAACAGCAAGTCATCCACATTTTCAACATTTGGCTCAAAAAATATGTAGATTGCATTACAAGACTCATTTCATACAGCCATTCAAAACAGATCATCATTTCTATCCAGGAAAAATAAGTACAGGCTGAGAAAGTAATTCAGATACACTTTAAAATCCTATTATTACAGAATGAGGGATGACTGCACCTTGTGAGACCTCTGAGTCAAAGCCATCTTTGATGCAACTTTATTCAAGATGCTGGTCTGACAGGCCAGGCACTGCCTCCTAGTCCTGTCCACAGGAACATTCCTGAAGAATGCTCAACATTCTGGTACAATATTTTAGGATGTTCTTTTGCAATAGATAAATTACTGAAATTAGATTATTTGAAAGGAAGAGAACAAAGTTATAAATCACATCATCTTCAGAAACAAGTGCTTTAATAGTGAACTGTCTCTGTGAATAGTCTTCTAGAACTTGTTATTCCTTATTAACCTGAAGTTTTAACATAATTTTAGTAACATTGTAGTTCCCTATGCTCATTTACTTCAAAATATATAGCAGAGGACTGTTAAGAAATGTTTCAGATATTCTGCATTTCCTAAAAAAGCTCTCCACACTGCAAAACCAATTTCAATCACTAGTATTTTCTCTTAGCAGCTTGCTTAGTGCTGGAAGGTGTCAGGGTGTGTTTTTAATTCAGTGATACCAGAAAGTCATTTACCCACTACTTTATCTGAAGTTGACAAAAATATAGTTGTGTATCTTTCCTGTTGAGCATGTTTGACAGCATTTTTCATCAGAATAATTAGGTGCATTAACTGCTTTGACATATAAAGCACTAAAACTAAGTATGGTAAGGACCCATTTCTAATTCTTTTGTATACTTCTAGACTGATCACAGAACAAATATTTTGCTTGTTTTCTAACCATGAAGAAAACTGGTGTGAAGACTTCGAAATGGCATGTAGATATTAATCTTACTCATTGTAACAGACTTGAATTAGCAAAGTCCCGTTATGGACAATGACACATGTCAAGGAACTAACAAAAATCTGACTGCTTAAGACATGTGCTTTCCAACAGGTATGAAGCAAAACTGGAGCAAACAAATATCTGCTATCAGTTACATCTGCACCAATCAGGAATAATTTCACTGAGATATTGCATGAATTTATAAAAATGACTGGAAAATGTGGCACATTTGTGTCAAAAAGCCTTGGAAATACTTGCCTTATAAAAGTCATTACCATATAGATTCCACTGCAGCAAGAACACTCGGAAGAACAGTTCTTGGTTTTGTTGAAGAAAATTGTCTAATCTTTTAATCTTTGAGAAGATTAGAGCTTGTAACTACCACCTGACCAGGATGATGAAATTCTACTAGTGCAATTGATTATAAGAAGTGCAAAGCAGAATCAAGCCTTTCATATTTATGAAAAGTATAAACCCCTCTGCTATTAAAGCCTTTTCAAAAGATTTCTTCTCAGTTGCAGAGGGAAGTTCTAAAACGTCAACATTTGAATCAAAAGAGTAGCAAAAGCAGTAGAAAAACATTGGCTGACAAATCAAGTACCCATGTTTTAACTATTTTTGTTAGAAGTCTGTTAGAAATTGAATTAAAATAAACATGCTTAAAGCTTATTATACTAGGTACTTCCATTGATTATTGCATATGCGCTATAAAATCCAGACCACAAAGATTGTTGTACAATCTTAGTTTACATCACAATATAACAAAGATTTTTTTGAACTGCTGACTGTACATCAGCAGGACACTTAAATTAGGCTACAGATTTTCCAAAGAACTCTTTCATTCACTACAGTTGAGTGGGCTAACAATTTCAGCATCCCAGTTGGAGAAAAATCTATTACACCACCAAAAAAAAAGAAAAACTATAAACATTTTAAAAGCCTGCAATTCCTTACTACCTGCTTAAACGTTAATTAGGAACAGCAAGAGAAAAATCTGCATTTATGTCATAAAATTGTCAGAGTGACAGATCAGAAAGTCATTGCTTCTGTATGCCAATTTAGAAGTTAAAGCATGTTTACTAATTCAGTCATGAACCCTGATACAACACTTAACAGCTTAATCCTTTAATTTCTCACAGCATTTTTACCTAGCTATGAGGTGTTCTGGGTTGGATCCTGTGCGAGCAAGGATCTAAAGGGTCAGCTTTTAACAGAAAGGTTTGAGAAGAGGCTAAAAAAGAATGAAAGGCGGTCAGCTGCGAAGAGAGATACTGATCATCCTTTCAGACACAGAAAGCTGCTACACTGAGTACAGATTGCCTTTTACCCCAGAGTACTTTGCAAAAACTAATCTAAGTCGAGCAAACGAAAGGCACAAAGGAACCTCGGAGCAGATGTGTACGGTAATTTTAAAAAGTAAATAAATAAAAAAATTAGCATATCTTTCTGAGGGGGGTGGGGAGGTGTCTGTTTTCTGGCCGAAGGATGCCCAAACCCCGACAGGTTTGACTCGGCGCGTCCCGCTCCAGAGAGGCTCAGGCGCGGCCGGGACCTGCACACTTACCCCAGTCGCCAGCTCCGCGCCCAGGCAGAGCAGCAGCAGCAGCAGCAGCAGCAGCGCCCTGCGGGGAGGCAAAGGGACAGAGTCAGCCCCGGGGCCGGTGGGCACCGCGGGGAGGGGACCCGCCGCGCCCCGGCACTCACCCTGCGCGCCCCATGCTCCGGGCAGCCCGGCGGGAAGGCGGAGAAGGGGCTCAGCTCGGTTACGCGCCACTGCGCCCGCCGGAGGAAGAGGAGGGCCCGCACTGGGGCCCCCCTGCGCGGCCGCCGCTCACCTCCGCGGTGCGGCCGCTTCGCCGGCTCCTTCCTCCCCCCCCTCCCCGCTACAACGCGGGACCGAAGGCGCCTCGCCCTGAGGGAGCAGCCGGGCCGGCGCTGCCCGTTCGGGGTGGGTCACCGGGAAGCGAAGCCCCAGCTCCCCTCAGGGTGCCCCGCCGCCGCCTTCCGCACCCGTGCCACAGCGTGCCCGGGCAGAGAGTTTGCGCGGTCTCCGCCGAGGCGTCGCACCTGAGCGGAGCCGGGCGGGGCGGGACGGGACGGAGCCGGGCGAGCCGCGGCGAGCGCCCCGCGCAGCCCCACACCCACGGCCCGACCCCTCCCGAGGTGCGACCCGGCACTGCCGGCAGCTCCCCCCCCGGGACCTCACACACCGAGGTGCTTCCGCTGGAGAAAATAGTCCGGGGTCTACAGCGGCTGCCCGCGCGCTGGAGGTGCGGGGCGGGGTAGAAGCGGACGCCCGCCCTTTGAGCCGACAAAACCCCGGCGCCTGGTGGGGAGGCGGAGGGAAAAGGTGGTGGCAGTGGGGAAATCGCAGCCCCCTCGGAGCGGGGTGGCAGCTTGTCCTGCCCCTCACACACACACACAGACGCGCGCGCGCTCCGCCACCCCGCCTGCCCGCCCACGGTGCGGATGAATACTGTGGGGCAAGTAGTCCCGGGAGGACTTGAGCCGGGAGAAGCGGGCGAGTGCGGCAGAGGGGCGGGCGCTGGCGTCGGGGTGGCCGGTGGGAGCCGCTCGTAGGGAGCCGCGCTGCCCTGCCGGGCTATGCCCGCGCCGCAGGGCCAGCCCCGGAGCTCCTGAGTGAGCTGAGGATGGAGCCGCGGTGGTGGAGCCTGGCTGCTGGCTGCCTGGTGCTGCTGCTGCTGGGGTGCTGGGGGCCCGAGGAGGCGGTGGCGGCGGTGAGTGTGGGGCGCCCTCCTTGTTCTCCTCAGGCGCTGCGGAGCCTCGGGAGAAGGGGAAGCTTTTCAGTCTCCTTCAAAAACGGGGTTGCTGAGGTGGGGGCTCCGCGGGCCGCGGCCCCTGACAGGAGCCGGGCGGGCGGGGGTCGGCGGCGTGAGGCCGCGCCGCGCACCGGAGGGTCTCCGGCCTCGCTGCCCTCAGGTGCCGGCGGTTGTTTGCCACGGACAAAGGCTCCTCGACGCTGCCGGCGTCTGACCGGCTCTCCCCGGCGGCCCGTCTGAGTGTGCCGGCGGTTCCGAGGAGGCAGAAGGGAGCGTGAGGGCGAGGTGAGGGGAGCCCGGGCGAGCTTTGTGTGTGTGTGCGCTCTGAACCCGCTGTTCCTCCGGGACAAAGGAGGACGGATCCCCCCCGCAAAGGATCTTCGTGAAGAGCTGTCTCAGCTCTTGCCAGTGAGTCTTCACCTGCATCTGTAAGTCATGCCTGGATGGGGCAGGGGATTGGAGGCTTGCGGGCGTGGTTTTGCTAGAGGACTGGCGCCTCAGGCTGTACCTTGCTTTACCTGAGGGTTGTATTTCTGCTTTCTTAGAACCCAAGTTGAGATGCTAGTGGAGATGGTAGATGAGTGCTGTGTTGCAGAAGGTGCACAGTAGGTGGCCTGGAGGAGAATTTTGTTTTCCCCCTTTGGGAGAGGGATGCTGTCCCGTGTTCCCTGGAGCGGCTGGGCCTTGAAACTGAGAGGAGGGAGAGGTGATCGCTAGCTTCCTGATTCAAGGTACTCTACTAAGACCTTCAGCTGTCAACAAGTGGTGAAATTAACTGAAAGGCTCATGCTTTAACGTGGGTTAATTTCAGATTTTCACATTCCTTTCTTCTGGCTGTTAACTTTTTTTTTCAGTTTACTTGGAAGTGAAAATGAATCCAGGTTTCTGTTTAGGACTACTCTGTAGTTGAAATATCATATGTTACGGTAATAGGTGTAGAATACCTTTCTGTTACTTCCCCCCCTCCAATTTTGTAGTTAGAGCTGACAAAATCTTATTTGTCTTGAACTCTCCTTTGAAGTGCATTCCTTTGCAATGAAACCTTGTGGGCCTTTCATCTGCCCTTCCAAAAAGCAAAGACCAGCCATAATCTACTCCCCTCCTTCTCAGCATGCCCAGGTGTGTACCGAAGTGTAAGTGATAATGGTGTGCCACCAGTGCTTACTGATTTGGAGAACTGCTTGTCTCTGCATTGTCTGTAATACTAGTTCTGCTGCTCTGTTAAGTGCCACCTCACCCCGGGCTACCCTCCATAATTTTCACCTCCAAAGGAGGAGCCAGTCAGTCCTATCTGTGGGACTTCACTGTTTTAACCGGTGGGGGGGGTTGAAGATGGGGAGTTTGTGTGTCTAAATGTAGCCCCTTGCTTCAGGAAAGCTCCCAAGCAGAGTTTGATATGTGTGGTTGGTGAGAATCTGTGGGGTCTGGGAAGAGGACTGTGCTGGGCTGATGCTGTAGACAGCTCTCTGCCTTGGGAGAACTGAAGAAAGAAGAAAAAGACAATGGTGGAGTTCCTAGTTCTTAACATTGCCTTGTACTGCAGCCTCTCTTTTAGGATGAGTGCCCCTGGGGATTTACTGCCCCACAGTGAGATAAGATTAAGACCCAAGGGCTAGTGGGGGTGGGGGAAAGAGACACCTCTGTTGCAGCCTACCTCAGTCCCACTGACATTTTGCCATAAGGGTCTAATGGTTTCTGAATTCTTTGGTGTTCTGATGTCCTTGAATGTCCCGTGATGATAACACTAAATGATGCCTGTCCTCATTAATAAGGATTTATTTTTCGCATTGTCAGAAAGGGTTGAAGTAATACTGTAGCAGTATGCTTGTTACACACTGTCTCTTCTCTGAATTCTGTTTTGGGACCTCCTATCACAATCCTACCCCCAACAGGATAAATCTGGTGGGATGAGGTTAAGTCATTCTGGTGTCCTTATTAAAGTAATATCTGAAATTGTTATTAAACCTTGTAATACACATTTCAAATACAAAAGTCTTGCATTCTTTGCTCCAGTTCATAGTGTATATGGCTATGTGATCAATTACAAGGTGACAATATTATTGAGATTCATCTGCTAATGTGGACATCATAGGGGAATCCCAGTGACTTAAAGCCAAAACTTCATACTCAAGTAAGAATGAATTTCTTTGTTCAGATGTTATTGTTGGGTTTCCATAGCCCGTTGTCTAAACTTGGTGAGTGCTGTGTGAATTATGTTCTTCACTCTTGTGCAGAGTCGTTGGTGTAGAATGAAGTGCGTAACTACTAATGAACAGTGTAAAAGCAGCTGAGAGTCTGAGAACAGTCTTACTTTAGAGTGGGAGAATGAAAAAGGTGGAAGATGGTGTCATCAGTACATGAAGAGATTTCAAGTTATACTTAAAGGTGCTTATTTGTTGTATGCTTTCATCAGTGGGTATGAGTGCTTAAAATGTATGTTAAGGAACAATATTATTGCTTAAGTGCCCTGGTGGTTTTAATACAAATCTACATACCTGTATTACAAGTCAGTGAGCTCTTCCTAGAAGCAGAATTTTTTTACTCTTAGCAGGCTTGCACTTGCAATCTGTTACAGTGAAGTGATTGCAAGTTGTGACTGGGAAATCTATTTAATTATAGAACATGGATGGACTAGATTTCTTGAATTGTGCTAATCTAAAACTCAGTTGAAGTTAGTGACTGTCTATTGGTGTATATTGAAAAGTTTCCCTGTTAGTTAAGGCCCAGGTTTTTGGAGTGTAGATAGACTTTGTCAGCCCAAAAGTTATCAAAGATGAAGGAATTCATGCAATGTATTTCTTTCTTTGTCTTCCATTATAACTCCAGTTTGAGTAAAAGTGTAGGGATGAAAACAGTTCTTCAAATATGGTAACGCAGGCTGGCAAGGTGGGTGTCATTTGTGTTTAAGGAAGTAATCTTATTCATGAAAGTTTTCTCCAGTTTAGTAGAGATTTTTTTTTTTTCCTTTCATAGGTTACCATGCATATAAATACACACCACCATGTCATTAATTGCAATGTACTTGATTAATGTGGTTAATTTGTGAATGATGGTTATCTCTGTTTCTCTTGTCCTAACTATTTTATCATGTTTGTGGTGGTTGTTCCCATTTCATAACTGGCTGTGGCGCTTTCTAGTTACGAAAGCTAGGTCTGTAAAAGCAGAAAGAAATGGATGTTGGCTTTTAGGATTCAAAAAGTATTTCATCCTGAAATTCCGTGGATGTGTCTTGATTAGTCATGCACAAGACTGTGTTTCATAACATCAAGGCTCAAGCCCTCCCGCTTGCAATGTGTCATTTGTCATGTGTTTTGCTCTTGACCTTTTGTGGCTCTTAGATAAAGATATATAGTAAAAGTTGTATCTCCGAGTGTGTTCTGGCACATATTAAAAAACAAACAAGTCAAAGGAATCCTGACTGAAACCTGATGTAAGAGTCATTTGGACCATGATAGGGTCTTTTGTGGCTATGCACACAAAATCGTTATGTATCATCTTCAGTTTTTCTACATGATGGAGATAGACTGATAGTTCAGTGGAAATTCCTAGCCTTTAATTTTCCTGGTCATGGATTAATCTACTCATGGAAAGCCATTACCTTTTAAAAGTAGACAGGGAAATTTTCCTAGGACAAAGTGTTACTTAAATTTACATTTGCTGTTAAATAAATTACATAGTGATCTTTTTCTACTATGAATAAGCAATAATGCTTACTGTAATGTAACTAGTTGCTGTTGGTCTTACTAGAACATGTGGAAACTTTTCTATATTACAAAAGAACTGAAATCATTAAGAATACCAACAAATCTAATATGCATATTTTCTATCTGGGGTACAGTGCAGTAAGGCATCTGTTCTGCACGTACAGTGAAGATGTATTGTGCAGTTTTACCTTTCATTCACTGAGATTAAAATGCTTCATTCTCTAATTGCATCAGTTGTGTAAACTCTCCACTGATATCACCACACAACAAGATATCTAGATAACACTCACTTATACGTTCTAGGAATAGGATTGCGCAAGTGTACTGAATGGAAAGCAACCTCTGCCAGTAATGGTAATACCAGACAAATTGCTATGAATGAAGATGCTTTTTGCTTATCTGTTTCATAAAGCTGTATGGACTCAGTAATGTTTAAAATCAGTGGGGTGCTTTTAAGTTCTTGTTATATGCAGTGTTTGGCTATCTAATGTTGACTGCAGACTTTCTGTGCTGTAAACCATCTCTTATCAAGAGTACCTAAAATAATACTTGCTCAAAAGATGTAGAGCTAGTACAGTTTTAAGGATCCTTTACTCTCCTGTGAAATGTTAACACCACCATTAAACCTTATTAAGTATCACTGGTACAGTGCAGCTTCTGAAAAAGTAAATGTGCTGAGCATCCCGGTTATGTAATTGCGAAGTGTGTGGTATATGGAGGAAAAGCTTCAATATAATGTGAAATTATCAAGAGAATAAGCATAGCTTAGCTGAAGAGGAAAATTACTTTGCAGTTGTCTCGAGTCTTTTTTTGCAGAGCTTAAGTCTTTCTTGGAGAACTTGTTGTGAGGAGGTGCAAGAAGCAAAACTGGGGTATGTGATCTTAACTGTAGGAGATATGGACATCGGGCAATTAAATAATAGCAGATGAAGCATTTTGGCTTAAACTTGTTCGTGCTTTGGTCTCCCTCTAAAAGGCATGATACTTGAACCGTAATGTATTAATTGACTTCTCTTAGGCTGCTTGGAAAAGACTTTGATATTGGTGACTCCCACTTACGAAACTTTGCATCTCTCTTGCTGTGATCTGAGTGTGAGACTGGACTCAATAACCTCCTGAGGCCACTTCCAGCCTGAATTATTCTACAAGTATAAAATTATGCCAGAATAGTCGTGCTTCTAGGTGTACTTCCCGTTAAGACAACTTACACATCCTGTAGTCAAAAATTAATCATAATTGTTAAATTGAGTTGGA